ACGAACAGATCTCGGGTAAGTTTTTTTTGTTTGCCTTTTGTATTTTCTCTGAACCAACCAAAACATGACATGTAAGCCATATTTTGGGGCTCTATAGATGCTAAAATTAGGACCAATGTTAGCAATAAAACCTGATCAGATTATTATTTTATTGTTTTAAGCCCACCAACAACCCATAAAAACCCACTAAAACCTAACGTTGATGATGCTCTTAAAGTTTATTAAGACCAGAGAGGTCCCTGCTGTTTCAGTCGGAGGCTTTCAATTTCTTTTATTTTTTTTTTAATAAATGGCGATTCTGACCCTTTATCGAGAGAATTCTAAGGAAAATGGAGTTTGCAGAAAAGTAGATTACGTGTATGATGTGGTGCATATATTCGGTGGAGTATAAGACCACCTCCATTGGTAGAATCCCTAATGGGGTTTTTAACCATTTTGTAATATAAATTTTCCATCATTTCAAGTTAAAAGATTCAATAGGAGAATTTAATTTTTATCTCCTCCATTGGTAGATCTCCATTAGAGATTCTTAAAAATAATTTTTTTTTAAATGTTTTTATTTTAAAGGATTCTAAGACCATTTCCATTCATAAGACCCTCTAAAAGTTCTTAACAATTTTTAATTAATAAATATAACATTAAAATAAATTTAAAACTCCATTCTAATTTTCTAAAATTTTACCCCTTTATTGGTTAAGAACTCTTAAAGAGTTGTTAAAAATTAAAAAGACAATAAACTTAAAGCCCAATGGGCTATGATTAGAACACAATGGATGCCCAACACAAACCAAACATGCTTCTAGTGCATTCCTCTGTTAACCGCCACCACCATCGATCTGCTCGTTCGTTGCTTCCGACGCGTGAAAGATTTCCATCACAGCCGCCGCAAGAGTCTTGATTCGCCTAGATTTTACTGCAAAATCCTTCTCCCGACCTTCAGTCACCGAATCTACTTGACCGGAGAAGCCGAAAAACCAAATCTGAATGAAAGCTTTTACGAGAGAAGAAAATACATTAATGATTATTTTTTTAGTGAAAATATGGACAAATACTCAGAACTTGACACGTTAGAGGTCCTTAGGTGTTCTTAAAGTCCTCGATTAAGGACCGATTGTTAGC